GAGATAAGAATGAATTGGTACTGTATTGAATGACTCCCAAATTGAGCATTTCTTGGACTTGTTTTTCAATCCTTACTTTTAAAAAATATACTTATCTATAAAGCCACACATTAATGTATTAAGTACCTTCTTTGAAGGGAATATGATGGTGAATATCTCTTAAAGGTGGTAATGTGGTTGGTTCTTTGAATATATTTACATATTCCTTCAATGTTTGTTGCATTTTAGGACTGATGTCTATTTTTAGATAGATGACAAACAATATCTGGTCTTAGCACATTTATTTCACAACCAATGCCAATGATGTTGCTTGAATATATTGGTTAATTCCTTGTAATCTTTGTACTTGATTGTCCCCATGAAAGTCCATGATTAATTGTTTCCAATTACAGATTACAAAACCTAACATCTTTAGCCATTGAATGTTTAACACCATATGAAATCCTGTTATGGGTAGAGAATAAAGGGTGAGTGAAAAGTAATGTCTTGTAAATTCACTTGTATCTCATCAAAGCAACCTTGACAAAATAGACGTTCCTCATTTGTTATGTAGATAACAAATGATTTTGTTAGTACCGATAGAAGTCAAAGTAATCTGGCTATTTTCTCACTCAATTTTTTTTGAGTTTATCAATGTCAATCAACACGATCATGTTTTAAGACCCAATAGTAGCTACTACTCATATGGTTTGTAGGGTTTTCTTGTCGATTAGTGTATGTACTAAGATTTCTAGTTCAGTTTGATCTCTTAAAATATCTGTCATTTGCAACTATTTGCCTTCCATCTTATATTCTGTGGTTTGGCATTTAAGAATGAGTAATTGAGGTTGTTGGCACTTGTGTCTTAGGGTGAATTTGTCATTGCAATTGTAACAAAGCCTTTGTGCTCTCTATTTCTGCATTTCATCCCAACTCAATCTTCTGGGTGTTGCTGTTGGGGTAGAACAATTCACTAGAGTAATAGTGATAGGTACACATTTCAGCAACGAAGGTTGTGTGAACCTTTTTGTTTTGGCAATTTGTTCATCCCCCATTCGTTTTAGGCTAATGGTTTCCTTTAATGTTTTGGGCTTGAATATTCAAATTCCATCGAGGATCTCAAATTTCAATGCTTATATGAAAGTGCTAATGAGAGCCTTTTATGTCCAACCATGAACTTGATTGCCTAGCCTATCAAACTCTTTTTGGTAATCATGAAGGGATCCAATTTGATGAACTCTAAATAGAGCTTCATCAAAATCTTCACAATCTGTAGGTTGAAAATGAGCTAATAATTCCTTTTTAAAGAACTTTCAGGTCACCAAACAACCTTCCTCTTGGTAGGTTCGACGCATCTATTACCTCCAATGATTAACTTCCTCTTCAAGGTGAAAAGATGCTAGAGATGCCTTCTGATTATCAGTTGCGCCTTGAAATTCAAAGAATTGAGCTATTCTGCTAAGCCATTTAGTTGGATCTTCTCTATAGTATTTTGAAAATGCCAACTTCACCATATTGAAAGAGAAAATCTATCTATTATCATCATTTCCTCTTGATGTGAATGGAAAGATCCATCTCATCCATGGTTGTTGTTGCTAGAGACTTCTCTAGAGTATTTTAGAAATACCAACTTTGCCATATTGAAAAAGAAAATCTGTCTATTGCCATCATCCCTTCTTAATACAAATGGAAAGATTCATCTCATCCATGGTTGTTGTTGCTAAAGACTTCTATAGTTAAAAGAAAAACTTTTAATAGCTTGTTGATGATTTTCTCCAAATAGCGCAACTTATTAGTTACACCTAACTTCAATCACTACATTCCATCTTGAACTTCAACGAGTTCAACCTTCAAAGCCTCATTCCTTTTTTTATTGGATGTCATTGTAATCATGCTTTGATACCAACGATAAGTCCCAATCAAGTAATAGAAACAATTTTGATGAATACTTACTTTCTTTATGTGAAAGCTAAATCACAAGTATTTGTAAAAAAATTATTATTTTGTATTCATTATTAACGTTCCAATAAATAAAGTTAAGTTTAACAAATTAACTTCAACTCAGGAAACTAATTAGTCTTATTTCAATAAAATAAATTGTAACAACTCTGAATGAGCAAAAGTGCAAAACAACAACAAAGAATAAAATAAAATAAAAAGCTTAAACTTTGTCTAACTCAAACTAAAAACTTGGGATATTTTTTTAACGGTTCGTGCAAATCTTATTGGCCTACCAATTGAAACAAAATTTCACTAGGCATATGTTATAATTTGGAAGTTATTTTTTTTTACAAAGATGATATTTGAATTTAAAATCTTTTAAGCCTGTGTATAACCAGATTACAAGTAAAATTAAATTTAATTCTACATGTCTAGAATACAATATTAAATATTGTAATTAAATTTAATTATATTTTTTATTATACATGTGAAAATAAATTAAATTATTAATCTTAACTATTTTTCCTTTATATCATTAGAAGCCCAGATACATATTTAATTATATGGTGTTTAAAGTTGTATATTAAAGCCCATATAGGTGCAATTCTAAAAACTAGAAAAACAATATATTTTATTATAAATATTGGACAATACTATATATATATATATATATATATATATATATATATATGTTGGTAAATGTAGCCCTTCCCCATACCAAACCAAGATTTTTCATCGGATCATTCCTTAAAACTATCCAAAATTCTAATGTAGAAATACAACACTTGCTAAGCTCTATTATCAAACTACAAAAACCTTTAAAAAATTGAAATGTGCACCTTTATAGTTCACATTCTTGCATTTATTCCATCCCATTTTGATGGGTATCTAAGAAATTAAATAAAACTTTTCTTTACTCCTACGATGTATTTTCACTAGTTGATTGAGAACAAAGGTGACACGATCAAAGAGTTGATGTCTTATCCCAAGTGCAGGAGTGTCAAAGTAAAATAACCCGGCAAGACCGGGGTCGAACCACAGGGAGGTGAATTATATAAATTACAAATAAAGAAAAAGATTTAAAGAGAATAATAACAGAAAAGGAGTTAAAGAAAGTTTTGGGATGTGATATTGATATAAGGATTAAACAATAACAAAACATATGTCAAGGTTATAGGATTCACTAATGGTATTTCAAATAAATATAATATAAACTCTTTTTATTACTCAACTAGAAACCACACACAAAGGAGGTTCTAATCGGATGATTTCTCGTTATTAGCTCATTATAAATTACTAACATGATCATATTAATTATCTTATATAAGTAATACCATACTTATAAATATCATCAAGCATTCATGTTGCTAGTTTATGTTAACAACAAATCAAGTTCCTATCATAATAACGATGTCAGCCGAAAACTATGAAGGATCAAGCATTTGATGTACCAAATATTATACAACACAAATCTAAATTAAACATTTAATAAGCAAGGTATTAAGAATTAGTAAGATAAAAAGATAAAACATGTTAATAACAATCTTTCTTGGATATAAACATTTAAAGCTCATGTTGAATTTATATTATACCTATTCTAACACCATTAGAGAAACCTTTTCACCTTGACATAATTAACTTAGCTAAACATTAAGAAGGAGAAAAACACAAATAAACAATATAAGAACATAAACATAATATAAGCTAACTAAGTATAGGAAAGGAAATGAAAGAGCATAAACAAGAGATTACTATAGCATAAAAGAAAACTTGAACATTACAAAGATGTAGAGAGAAAGCAAGAAGATAACTTTGATCTGAAAATTAATATGACTAAATACATGGACAATGCCTCCTTTTATAGGCTAAGTTTCAGAACTATTGATTGATTGAAGAATTGGTGGGCATCCATTGATTTGGTGGCTGGTTTTTGACATTAATGGCTGCTGGTTTTTTGATATTGTGGGCTGATTATTGATATTGTTGGCTGGCCAAAACGTCATTGCTCACATCAGAATTATAGCCAACTGAATTGTGGAATCTGTGGGCAATTGTCTCAGCTTTCCATAAAAAAAAACCAGAGCTCATTTGGACTTCTAGAACTCAAGATATGAGCCAAAAACCGAATAGTGCTTGAGCTGCAGGACAGCTTCCGACGTCTTCGTTGTTGCTAAGATTTGGGCTTGAAAACGGCAGAACTGAGTCTTTGACTTCATATGAAAGTTGTAGGTCTATGTCTTACCTTTCCATTGATATAAAATGGACCTAAATCTGATATCTACAGCTCCAGATATGATCAAATTATTGAACGGTGTTCGAGTTTGGAATGCATCAGCAACACTTTGCTAAGTTTGGCCTTCTTTTTATCCTTTCAATTTCAATCCTTAAACTCATCAATCAATCCTTTTATTTATGTGATAGACCTGCATTTAGGATGAACATTTACCATGAATTAAAGGTATATTATATTTTTAGACTTGCTAATATAAAACATGCTTTTATTAGGGAATTTAATGATACTTTAGGTGCAATATGATGACATAAATTCTTAATGAGAATGCATTTTTAAGTACTAATCAAAAGGTACAATACTAACTGCAACCATAAAACATAAAACTAACGCTAAAACACCCTTATCATAAAAGAAAAAAATTATATACCTTTTTCATTTATAAAAATATTTATTAGTTATTTAGAATCGATTCTATACTATAATTAAATATAATTATAGTGTTTAATTTGAATTTAATTAATAAATAAGTTAATTCACATATTTGTAAGATATGGAATTCTATTTATTTTATTTCTTATATTGCTCTTATTACATTTATCTTATTTTTTAAGAGGTTTCTCAAAAAAAAATAAATTGAAATTATGAATATTTTGAAAAATCTAGTCTTAATATAAAATTTCTATGTAAATTAGAAGAGTCAATATCCAATTTATTTTTATATTTTTTAAAAATTAATTTTTATTTAATTTTTGATACTTAAAACAATTACAAACATATATTTAAATTGAATTTAATTTAGAGATTTCAAGGTTTTAGTAACCTAAGAAATCTCACCCATAAATCCATCATTTGGGCCAGGGTACAAGATCCATATACAAATTGAAAACTGGGTCCAACGCGGCCAACAATGATACCCTCATCCTTTCCTTTCTCTTCAGCTCCTCAGATTCCACAAGCATAAATTAATTTGGTTTTTCCTTCACAGTAATTGATTGTTGAGTTTTATAGTGATGGTAAAGGAACCAGCAAAGCTACTGATACTATACGCTTCTCAAACCGGAAACGCTTTGGATGCGGCGGAGCGTATTGGCCGCGAAGCCGAGCGACGAGGCTGCGCCGCCTCTGTTCGCTCTATCGACGATTTTGATGCTGTAAGTTTCTTTCTTTTTTTTAAAAAAGGAATTTTTTTGGTCGCAGAGAAAATACGAGAAAGTATGAGAAAATTTGAATTTTTTGTTTCCTAGAAAGTTTGAAACTATGCTTGAAAAATAATGGAAAGTTTCCAGTCAATCTCTGATTTTGTGTTTGTTTGTAGGAAAGTGAAAGGAAATTTTCTTATGCGTTTTTGAAATGGTAGAACGATTTTACTCTGAATTTCAGATTTTTTATATAGAGAAAATGAAGGAAAGTGAAAGAAGTATAACTGGATTTTTTTTAGTAATTTAGTATTTGGATTTTTTTGTCCTTAAAGGAGTTCTTCCAGTTTGCCTAATTTTCACTGATGGCTTGGGAGAAATGCTTACCAGAATTTTAATTTTTACTGTTTCAGAGTTCTTTACCTCACGAGGACAATGTAATTTTTGTTGTTTCCACCACAGGTCAAGGAGATACACCAGATTCCATGAAGGTTGATTGAAATTTTCTTTAGAATTTTATTTATCTGTTTGGTAAAGAGGCTTGAAGGTCTCTGTTCCTAATTCTTCGTTTCAATATGTGTCTGTAGTCGTTTTGGAAGTATCTTCTGCAGAGAAATATTGCTAAGAATTGGCTGGAAGGAGTTCATTATGCTGTTTTCGGATTGGGTGATTCTGGCTACCAGAAATATAATGTAATTTCTTGTAACTTTTGTTTAATATTTGATAAGTAATGTTATTTTCTCTACAAAAGAATGATGTGCATCTTCTGTTTAGATATATTAATGTCTTTTGTGCAGTATGATTTCATTGATTCTGTTAGGCACTTGAGTCCTTATCATATCATGCAGGCTAGAAGATTTGGTTTTCGAATGATTGAAAGATTACTGATAACTGTTCTAGTTCTACAAGTATTCACATCTTTTTCAAGGTTCCTCTACTATGTTTCTATGTAGGGGAATGTGTAACAGTTCACAGCATTTGGAAATCAGGGCCTGTATGCATGTGGTTAGGATGAATGTTGAAAATATACATTCCAACAAAAGTAGTTCTTATATTTAATATAGGCTGCATAATGCTTGTAGTAACAGTGGACCAAGGTAATCTTCCGGAATGTTGAATGCACATTCTGTGTGGTCGTTAACTTTTCTTCCAATTCACACCCTTTTGATCCCCCACCTCAACTAGGGATCAAAAATAGTGTATGTTGAGAAACATAGTTCAAATGACATTGCTTTATGAATTATATTTAAAGACCCCATCTTTTATAGATGAATCTGGCGGTTCATTTCTTTGGCATTTTTTGATTTATGAAAAAGTGACTGCAATTTCTGAGAGTTACATTCATTATTTCACTCTTTTCCCTGTTTACTGAAAGTCAACTTGGATATTGAGTTTATCTGTCATTGTTTTTTCACTATATCTTGACTTTTTTGAAATATGTTGAAGTCCTTTAGGACTTATATCATGCAGTAATGATGTATCTGTTAAATTCTGAAGGGTCAATTACTAAGTGTCTGTGTGTCTGTGTATTCCATTGCAGCTTAAATTGTGAAAGATAAGAACTTTGATTTCTAATGAATGGCTCACTTTGAGGTTCCTTTATTTTTAGACCTTCCAGCCCTTGTTATTGTTAGGAGGTGCCTCTAATTAGATAACCTATCATTTGCTCAAATTACTAGGATTGTACTCTATAGAATCATAAGGCAGTATCATTCTTGTAATCCTCCATTCAATAACCCATGAGGAAACAAGTTTCTTTTTTCCTGTAATTTTTTATCACAGATCTGTATTGCATGCTATGGCTGCAGTTTGTGGCAAAGAAGCTTGACAGAAGAATTTCAGATCTTGGGGCAACAGCTGTTGTTGAAAGAGGTTTAGGAGATGATCAGCATCCTTCAGGGTATGATTACATCACAATAGAAAAGGATTTAGGCTTTGTTAGCACAATGAACAGTTTATTCTTCCTGATTAGTTAGATGTTACAACATTAATGGATAGAAACTAGCATCACCTACAACGACAATTTCTCCTGTTTTCATCCTTTGTTGTGAACAATGCATTTGTTTTTCTCCTAAATAAAGAATGATGTTGAATTGAGATGAAATTAAGATATCTAATATGCGAGGTTTTGTTTTTAGGTATGAAGGTGCTTTGGATCCTTGGATGTCATCCTTGTGGAACATGCTGTATCAGATTAACCCTAAATTCTTCCCAAATGGTCCAGATTTTGTGATATCAGATACAAAACTCATCAATCAACCTAAATTTCAAATAACATATCATGAAATTGACGAGGTCGACTTACAATCATCTTCTGCTCCAGGTAATTCAGGTGTTTGGCTATGCATTTTCTTTTTAGCTATTACAATTACCAATTGTCTTTGTTTAATGCTTCTACATTTTGGATATGGTTTCTTGTTATATATTCTTGTGATTGAATGCCATTCCATTGCAAGGGCCAAGGTATTCTCTGAATGCATTATTCTCTTTAGTGGGGGTTTATGCACATTTCTGTGTGATGAGTTGGAAAATATCTGGTGGAGATTCTGTGAATGTAGAAAAGGAAAAAAAAACATGTTTTGGTTAATATATGTGTGTGAGTTTGCTGGTTTTTTCAGCCTAGTTATTGCAGGGTACAACCATGTTTTCTATGTCAATAAATATGGCTGTTGCAGGGTTTGAGGTTGGGATACTTCTTTTGTGCGATGCGTGTCTACCACCTTGCTAGTGCAATGGCTATTGGCATTACTGCCTTAACCATTTGTTTTATTTATGGTTGACCATCTCATTCATGTCATGTAGGAGTTGGAAATCGAGTTTGTACATGTTAGAAACCATGGCTAGAATATGTGATGACTGATGTAATATAACTGAAGCCCAGATAGTCAATGCTCTGTCCATACAAACATCAAAGATAAATATTACTAAACATGCATTTTATTCCCTTTATCAATGAAAATGAAATGATTGTATTTGCTAATTAAATTGTGCAGTTTTACACTTTGTTCTGCCTACCCAGTTTAACTTGGAAATTGGAAAATGTAGCCTTGTTGCTTACAATTTTTTTAATAAATTAATTTGCAGAATTAGGTTTTTTCACTTGTGTTTTTATGCCTTATGGTCATATCAGGTCTTGATCATGTGCTGATGCAAACTGGTAGAGCTCGGTCCATGTCTCCTGGAAAAGTTTCTCATATCAAGAATATTCCTGACTGCTTTCTTAAAATGGTAAGCTTAAATGCTTGTCATCATAACCTGAAACACCAAATCATCTGGCTCTTAACGCAAACCAATTTGTAATAAAATTCCTTGTGATAATCCTCCCATCTGATACTTGAAACTCCAATTTCTATACAGAAAGTCATGTAGCTATATCATGCATGAGAACTTGTGTAATTGTTGGGAGCTTCTTGCTATTAGCAGGGGCTGCTGGCCAACATTTTAGTTAGCCTCTGTTGATGGCAGAATCCGTGTATATTTTGTAGTTCAAAAGCTGAAGGCTTTAGTATTCTCATCCTCTACTTCGTCTGTTTCTGGACACTTGTATCTGTAGTGTTCTTTCTCTAATTGATTTAATTAGCCATATGGAGATTTGACCTATTACCTTCTCATCCTATTGAGAAGGTTATTTTGAAACGATAAGCAGTATCGAAAAGAACTAATCTCCTCTCTTTCTCTTGAGTAATTGCCTGGCCAATCTTTGTATCATCTTTGCATCTTCTTTATTTCTCTGTTCATTTATCCTTACTTGTGTAGATCAAGAATCAACCATTGTGTAGAGCTGGCTGTGGAAAAGATGTGCGCCATTTTGAATTTGAGTTTGTTTCATCTGTAAGTTCTCTGTTTTGTTCTGATTGAGTACACATGATTTTGTATTCCAAAGCACCTCAATTATAATGTGATATCAAATGAGTTCAATTTGGTGTCTTTTATGTGTGCTCTACCCTCTGCACAGATAATTGAATATAGAGTTGGTGATGTCCTGGAAGTTCTTCCTGGTCAAGATCCTGCTGCAGTGGATGCTTTCCTTCAGTGTTGTAATTTGAATCCTGAATCTCTCATCACTGTAAGTCATTCCCTTGTTGGCAGAGACTTCCTTTATTTGTTGCCCTTGCATCAAGGACTTCACTGGGGATCTTTTCTCAGTTGCTGAAATAGATGCAGTCCTTGTGAAAGTGATTTTTTAAATTATGTTTATTCCATGAACATAAAAAAATTGTAGTTTGTAGGCTTAGTAGCCTGCATTCTTAATGCATCTTGGTATTAGAATATCATATAAGAGGAAGCAAGCCACAAGTGAACAGTTTGAAATCAAGTCATATCCCTGGCTCACTGGATTGGAGAGGTACTTCATCAATGGCTTACCTTCAGCACATTGCTTTATCCAGCAATGTAGACATATTCTCAGCTTTCACAGTCACATACTCAACTGGAAATATGTTAGGTGTTTGTCATGTATTGAAACTTAAACAATGTGAGAAATAACTATCATCAGTTGTAGCATCATAAACAGTACCTACTTTTCATTTAATGTTCATTACATCTTCATTTTCCAGCCTATATTGAATTTTTAATATATTATTCTTGGTGCACCTTTAGATTGATAAATCAGTAGTTCAAAATAGAATAGTCCTTAACCTTTATGGCATGTTTGAGCTGAACACTTGCAAGCTGAAATCTTTTTTTCATTCTGTTTGTTATCAACCACTTCATTACTTATCATATTTCCCCTGACTTGCTTATGGGGGATGCACAAGTCATACTTTGCACCTTTGATATAGCTGTCGCACTCTTTATCCTAAATAATGGGCAATGCATTTTGTTTCAGGTGCATCCTATAGGGATGGAGAGTCGTCATTGTGATGCTGAAGGCAATGACTACAAAGTCCCTATAAAATTGAAAACTTTCGTGGAATTGACCATGGATATTGCATCAGCTTCCCCTAGGCGTTATTTCTTTGAGGCAAGGATGTTGTATGTTTTTTGTTCTTCTATCTTCAAGCAAACAAAAGATGCCATCTTATGTAACATGCTGTTTTTACTTGCTCCTCCAATCCTTCTCTATATTCCATTTCTTCTTTTTCTCCTGCTCATCACATTTGAGCCAGAGAAAAAATTATCTCGGAAAATGAATTAAACAGGAAGAGGCTATTTAGGATTGCACTTTTGGTTCTTTCTTTAGAAAATGGAAGAAAAGATGTATTTTGGAAAATGATATTGGTAAATTCAAAATTGGTGCCCAACTATTATTGTACTTTTCGTGCACATGTAAATTTGAATTACTCTATTTTTCTTACATGAATAATTAAAACTATCTTACATTGACATTTCATAACAGTAATGATAAGGAGAAATAGATTTGATGGCGGCACCTTTTTCATATGTTTCAACACAAAGTAGTTCATCCCCATTCAATAGCTACATTATTTTCAGAACTTTCTCGTGTAATAACCTATGTCTAGATGTGGTATAGAAATGTTTGATCTATTAAAATATTTCTTTGTTTTTTTTTATCTTATTCTATTGTATTAGAAGCAATTTACCATAGATGTTGATAAGATTGGGAGTTTTAGTTTTTCAGCTTCACTATGCTCTGGTCTTTGCCAACTTGTATAATAAAGTGAGGCAACTTACAATTTCTGATTTTCCAACTAGCATTGCCGGTTTCCCCTAATCAATGGTTCTAATGGAAATTAAGGTTGAAGCTTTGTAATTGGATTTTTTTCCTTTCAATTGAAGGAAAGAAAGTAAGAAAGTCATGTATTTTTGCTAATCGAATCTTATATTCATGCTCCCTGCTAGCTCAGTTTTGATTGTTGTGGTGTTGCCACTAGCCTGTGCTATTCTGTCGTCTTATACTGACAACCCTTTTCTCATTCAGGTTATGAGTTATTTTGCAACAGCCGAACATGAAAAGGAGAGACTTCAATACTTTGCCTCTCCTGAAGGAAGAGATGATCTTTACCAGTACAACCAGAAGGAACGAAGAACTGTTCTAGAGGTGAGTTATTGCACATAATTGATGGTGCATTGTGCATTATTTGTTGAGCATCTTTTGTTGACATTCATTTCTTCACAATGTTGGTATATGTTATCAGTTTATTTTGCTGAAATAAAACCTCACACACTTAAATTAAGTTTCTCTTTTAGATCTTACTGTGATGTGATTCTATTGAATGTAATACTACTCCAGGAATATACTTGAAGTCAACAAAACTGAATAATTATCTACACTCTGTGTGTGGGCTTTTGTGCGAAGATAACAACTGTAGCATGTAAATTAAGCTATGCAAATAGGACACACCTCTTTTTCTTAATTTGTCAATTACTAGGTTAACGGTAATAGGAACTTTGACCTTTTACAATGCTAGGTTTGTCCTCTCACAAAGGATGTAGGAGAAGCTCCAGCATTTTAAATAGTTTATCAGAGTTGAGCTGCTCCACTTTTACATGTTAGGATTGTTTAGTGGCTCCTTGCAAAGACTTGATTGTGTCTTTTCAATATAGGTACTGGAAGATTTCCCTTCTGTGCAAATGCCATTTGAGTGGCTGGTGCAGCTGGTTCCTCCATTGAAAACAAGGGCTTTCTCCATTTCTTCTTCCCCTTCAGCTCACCCTAATCAAGTGCACTTGACTGTGAATGTAGTTTCATGGACAACTCCCTTTAAGAGGAAGCGAGCTGGTCTCTGCTCTACATGGCTAGCTGGACTTGATCCACAAGATGGTATGGGTATGCTAAAATGCAACTGAAACTTTCCAATTGAGCGACCCATGTCACCTTTTACACGGTAACATTTATTTGAATGAGCAGGTGCATATATTCCAGCATGGTTTGGCAAAGGCTCCCTTCCTCCTCCACCACTATCAATTCCCCTTGTACTCGTTGGGCCTGGTACAGGCTGTGCTCCTTTTCGTGGATTTGTAGAGGAAAGAGCCATACAAGACGTGTCCGGCTCAGCTGCTCCTATTATGTTCTTCTTTGGTTGTCGAAATCAGGAGAATGACTTCTTGTACAAGGATTTTTGGTTGTCTCATGCAGAAAACGGTGGACCACTATCCGTAGCAAGGGGTGGAGGGCTTTATGTAGCCTTCTCAAGAGATCAACCACAAAAAGTTTATGTGCAGCATAAGATGCGGGAACAGAGCCAGAGGGTTTGGAATTTGTTAGTGGAGGGAGCTTCAATATATGTCTCTGGTTCATCAACCAAAATGCCTTCAGATGTAATGTCAGCCTTGGAGGAAATTATATCCAAAGAGGCTGGAGTTTCGAGGGAAACTGCTGTTTTGCAGCTTAGGAGATTGGAAAAGGATGGTAGATACCATGTCGAAGCATGGTCTTGACCCCTGCTGGGTTCTTGCATCATGGGACAATTCCCCACTGCAAGGAACTAAACTAGCTTCTAGTTTGTGTGAGAGTACTGGGGACCTCAAATTGATGGTAAGAGGATATTAGTCCAAGACACAGCATTTGTAAGGGTAATTTTTATCCATGGGGACTTAAACCTGCCCCAATTACTATATCCATCAAATAATGGGATTTGAAATTGTTTTGAATATTACATAATACAGTTGAGTCGTCAGCTTCAACTTTGGAAGTCAAAACTTGCTGAATTTCAGGGCCAAATAGATTACACGTTAGTTTACAACCAAATAGCAGCAAATTAATGCTCTATATTCTCCCCCTGTATTCCATTTCCATTTCTATGACGGGCAACGAAGGAGCTTCCTTTTGAATCTGAACTTGGATTATAAGAGCATCCAGGGTGAGTTCTTTGTTTTTGATTGCTTTCCAAGTATTGCTTCAATATAAATTGAGGTTGGCCAACATGGTGTGACAATGTTCTAAACAACTTACCTCCACCAATGTCTTTTCTGAAAGAAGGTTGGGCATAAATCGGAGTCACACCCAATGAAATGAAGATTTAAGTCTCTTTTTGGCTATTTACAAATTTCTGTCCTTGTTAAGTTTGGTACGAAGGATTGTGATGATGAGATTGATCATGGAGTTGTGAATTATCTGAATGTAAATTGATTCAAGATGTTTTGGAAAGAGTTTACAGCATGAACAACAAAATTAAGAGAATCAAGAGGAAGTTAACAAAGAGAAACAAAACCTGAAAATCATGGTGAATTATGGGTGCTAAGTTTAGAATTATTTTAAATTGTGAGTATTCCTTACAATCATAAGATAGCTTAAGATATTAAAATTGGTATGGTGAGGATATTGGAGCATACGCTATTTTAGAGAAATCCATATGACATTTTTAATGGCTTTCCAAGTGAGTTGGTGTTTTTTTTTGTTTTTTTCGTTGTGTTAATTAACTAGTAATACATTAACCTCCCAATGTACTCAAGAAATTACACTAAAATTATTATTTTAAAAAAATATTTGTTCAAGAGATTTTGTCTTGATGAATTTTGTGATATATGAATTTTTCTCTCTTATAAACTATTTTATTATTATAACATTCTTAGATTGCATTTTGCTCTAAATTTTGAGTAGATTTGGTCAAGTTATGTTAACAAAAACTGAAAATAATATCCTTCATATCTAACTATTATTTTTTAAAAGAAATGCTAATAAAAATAGAATAGACAATTTCTTACATTATTTTTAAAATCTATGAAAGAATGATGAAGTATAATATAATTTATAAAGAAAATAGCAATAGCATAACACGAAAAATCCATATGATTTGAAATTGAATAGTTTGAGATGGAGTTTTCATGTAGCAATCAACAAATCAATTAATAAATTGATGAATGATGTTCTTATAAAAAAATGATTGTAAATATTAGCATCATGTAGATTTCCTATATATATATATATATATATATATATATATATATATATATATATTTTTTTGAAAGTTAGCTCAACATGACAACATGACGATTAGTATTCAATCTAACCCTATTATTTCAATTACTTCTAATCTAAATATTCTAGTTCATTATCCACAATATCCTTCTAGTATATATTTTCATATTAACCGACCTTACTTTAGAAATTTAAACCCCCACCAAATTTATTAAAAAGAAAGTATGATACAATTTTAGTTGTTTGATTATTTATATTTAATTACTTATTTGATAATTTAACTATATTATCATATATATTTTTATTTTTATTATCATAGTCGTTATAATTATATATATTTAAATAAAAATATTAACAGATCTTGTGTAGTATTTTTTTTTAATTTGGTATCAATTTTTAAAATTCCTTTATTGATTGAAATTGAATTTAGAAAGTTTATACCTTGAAACCAAAATTAAAAGGTAATGATTTTAAAAAATAATTTATATGTTTTTTTTTTCTCTATGCGTATGGAATTTAAATTTTTAATTATTCTTTATATTTTAAAAAATAATATTGTATCATTTAGTTTTGAAATTTTATTAAGAAAAAACTTGGTTGAAAAATAACAAGGAATCAAATAATACATAAATAAACTACTATACTACTATAGTATTATAAACTTTTAAACAACTTGAAGAACATTCACATGGATGTAAAGCAAAGTTTGTAAATATTTATATGTTAGATTAGTGAGCAATGATGTTTAATTTATTATTATAAAGTATGCTAAACATAAAAAAGTTTTCAAGAAAAATCTAAAATTTATACAGGTTTAAATCAATAAACATGCAAAATAATAACTTAAGACAAACATGTTATCAATATAAATATAATACTAACATGCATACTAACCATATATCCAAACTTACAGTTAATACCAATTTAAAGTCCTAGCATGCATACTAATAATAAAAATCTATATATGTTTAAATTAAAACAAAAAAAGGATATTTACTTGTTGAAATACTTTAAAGTAATGAGATTTTTGTTGTTATCAATGATGAATATTTTATTCTTAAAGCTTTATTGCTTTTCACTTATGCAACTATGATATTTGTAATATCCCTTCTAAGATTTTAACAATATCATATTGGTTTAAATGCACTTTTAAACAAGGTCTGCGAACCAAAAAAAAAATAAAACTCAAATAGTTTTAAACAAGATGAACCTAAATTCTACATTTGCAAGGAAAACCAAAGCATAAAAAAAATAAAAACACTAAAAATGAGGTGAGAAAGATTGTGAAAAAATACTAAAAATTCAAGTTAGAAAATCTTTCTTCATTCCCTCTTTTAAAATGAATCTTAGATACTGAGAAATTAATAAAAATTAATTCCCACAATTATCAAAAATAATAAATCAAGAATTAAATATAGAAAAACCAAAAGTTCTTTAAATGGAAAAAAAACAAGGGTTCTTTGAGATTAATTTCTCATTCCCCTTATAATTCTTTTTATTTGAAACAATTCTCTAACAATCCCCCACATAAAAAGAAACTATCTCAACAGTTTAAAAATGATTTAAAGATTTATTGAGAGATACTAATTTGGTAGATTACTACATTATGATAGTTTGATTTTGAACTATTTTTAGTGAAATACTATTAAATTTAGTTGACTAAATAGTGAACATTATATCTTAAACTATTCAACTTTTTATATGAACTAAGACAATAGTACTCATATAGTTCTCTACCTAGAGATTTCCTTTTATTCTCATCATTGTGTTCATTTCAGCCCTAAACAACTCTTGAATTCATGAGTGCTCTAGAGAATTAAACCTTTATCAAAATTCTTAAAGAAACGACCATATATTCTCACTCATACAAGTGATCTTTCATTAAAAGTATTTTGCTACACTCCACTTGATATACCATAATATGAAAATCATTAAGAGCTCAGCTCAACCTTTATCACGCTGCAGTTAGCACTTATTTTATCATAGGAATAAGCAAAAAATAATAATTTTCTAATGCTACCGAAAATGTTATATGACTTAGTTTTTCATTTGAACCTCAGTCTTGGGATCTCCAATCAACTAAGTATGCCTACCATTATTATTTTTTTTTTTTATCTTTTAAAAACTTTAAGCTCATTCATCTCGATGAATTATACACAAGCTCTCTCGTCAAACCTTCAATTAACATATTCATAATATTTTTCTTTTACTTTACATAGTAAATAAAAATAATTTTATTTGAGAGCAAGTGTTTAATGATATTATGCCTATGACATATGTCTAGACTTCCCATTATACAAATTACTTTGTGTCGTTTCAATTGCTAATTGACTATTGCAATAAACACAAATAATTGACGATGATTTCAACCAATAAGGAATATCCTTTAAGAAAATCTAAATCCATTTGACTTTCTTTTCAGCTTTATCAAGAGCAATAAATTCTAATTTCATTATGAATCTAGTGATACATGTTTATTTAAAGGATTTCCATGACACAACTGCTCCATCAAGTGTGAAGATATATCTACTTATAGATTTCAAATCCTTAATATTAGATATCCAATTAAAGTCACTCGACCCTTCTAGTACTGCTAGGTAACCAAAATAATATATGTCATAGTCTAAGGTATACCTCAAATACTTAGAGTATCATTTTTATTGTCTTTCAATGACCCATACTTGGATTACCTATAAATCTACTTGGTTTATTAACTAAATAACAATATCAAGCTTTATGCAGTTCATAACATGTATTAGACTTCCAATTATTCAAGAATATTTAAATTGATTAATTTCCTTATCTCTATTCTTGGATAGTTATACGCTTATATCAATTGGTATTTTGATAGTGATAGTGTCATCTTTAGAAAATTTCTTGAAAACTTTCTCAATATAATAACCTTGGGACAATATCAATTAGTTAAATGTCTTAAAAAAATTTATTCCTAGTATGATATTTGTAGTACCAAAATTTTTCATGTAAAACATGTTAGTTACTATTTTCTTAGTAGACTGATTGTATGATCATTGTTGCCTAAAACTAGTATATTATCCACATAGATACATACAATAACATAGCTTTTATCTGTGTTTTTTATATAAACATATTTATCAACTTCATTGATTTTGAATTCATTTGACAACATAACCTTGTTAAACTTTTCATGTTACTGTTTAGGTGCTTGTTTCAAACTACATAATGATTTGATAAGTTTATAAACTTTATTTTCTTGTCCATTAACAACAAACCCATCAAGTTGTTCCATGTAAATCTCCTCTTCAAGTTCACCATTTAAGAAAGTTGTCTTTACATTTATTTGATGTATTTCAAGCTTATTAATAGCTGCAATAACTATCAATGCTCGTGTGAAAGTTATTCTTGACATAGATGAATATGTGTCAAATAGTCCATACCTTTTTATTATCTAAAACCTTTGACAACAAGCTATCTTTATATTTATCAATAGTGCCATTAGCTATTTATTTTTTTTAAAGATCCTTTTATAGCCTAATAGTTTACTTTCAGGAAAAAGATCAATTTAAATATTCATAATGGATTCAATTTCACTATTGATTGTCTCCTTCAAATAAGAAGCTTCTTGACAGGACATTGCCTTAAAGTAGGTTTAAGGTTTATTTTCTAACAAGTATGTTTTTTTTAAAAAAAAAATTAAGTGTTTTGATCATTTTTTTCCTTTCACTCTTTTTAAGCTCAACTTCATCATTTTGTGATTGATGATAATTACTTCAGCTAGTCTTAATCATTCTCTTAATGAATGATTTTCTCATGCTTCCTTCTATGTAAATACATCCTTAAAGAATATAGCATTTATTGATTCCATATAATATTAAGATAAATATCTTTAACACATGACTTGTGTATAAGAAATTAATATGAACTACTACTGCATGTATATCCGATAAATACACAATATATAGTTTTATGTCATATCTTGACCTTTTTAGAATTAGATATTGCTACCTTTATAAGATACATTACACTTTGAGGTATTTGTAGGAAGATCATCTACCTTTTAATAATTCATATGGTGTCTTAACTAACTTTTTATGGGGTATTTTTTTAAATATATAATTGACAGTTAAAAT